TAGCAGCCCAGCTCGAGTCCAGCAGCTACCAGGCTGTCCAGGAAGCTTCAGAATGGTCCATCACACTCCAGATCGGCCCAGCAGCGTGGCATCATGGTACAACCCGGTTCAGGTGGATCCAGCAGCTCCGGTTCGAGTCCAAGATGGTTCCCGAGCAGCCTGACTTACTCACCGAAGGTTCGAGACAATCCGATGAGCTTGATGAGCAATTGGAGCACCATGGTGACTCGATTAGAATCGAGAAAGGCCAAGTCTAGCTGCTCATTAGACTTTGGTGTTCAGACGATCTTCATCAACGGAAATCAGAAACGTCTCAGAGTCGGCAAAAATTTTAAAACCGTAAGTCCTAATCCTAACTATAGATTCCGCTGCGTTAGGATTTATTATTCAATAGATTTGAATGTGCACATTGTCGACGTTCCTAATAGAACCCAACAACTGGTATCAGAGACCAGGTTAATTCGACGTTGTGCACTATTCGAATTAGGGCTTGCGTGATATATGTGAATTAATTGTGTACAGACGCAGCGCATAATAGATTAGAATTGCAAATAAGTGTGTTTGCAGGTATTCTTGAATCCGACTATTATGGCCCGCATGTATGTTTGTTTTTTAATTCATGTTTGTCGTTTTAAAAGCCTCGGACATGTCGAGGATTTTTGGGTTGGTGAATGTTTGTAATAATTTATTCGCGCGGTGGGACACCGCATAGTTTAAATGCTTTACTAGATCATTCATGTACGACCCCTGAGTGGGCCATAGGATCAATGTATGTAATTATATTATGTAATTGTTCGTTGGACCCGGTAAGCGCGGACATCTCTCGACGAGACGAGGCAGGCTACCCTGCGAACCCGTAGTTGATGGGATACATGGTACTGTGCAAATGCCGACATACTCGTAGGCAGCTTGCTGTCAGATACGAGCATTGTTAAGGTGTTTGCAGACGGATACGCACGAACCCAGGTCAACAGAAGTACGGGAGACGGCGGCAGTAGGCACACGCCAACAGAGGAGACTCGATGGCGACTTTCCCGATGACGACTTGTTCAAGACGAAAAGTGGGAGTCATGGCGAAAAAGGAAATTACAAGTCCTGAATCGGAAGACCCAGTTCAACAAGG